GCTAGATTGTTCAGATGTCCAGTTAAAATTATTGTCATTGCAGAAATTGATATGAGTATTTCTTAAACTTCCAAGTTTTAAAACAGTACATTTATCTTTATTCAATTTAAGGCCTATTATATTTGAAAAAAAATGTTGAAATAAGTATTAGAAACGATCTTTTTTCTCCATCAGTAATAAAACAGGCATCATCGGCAAAAAGTCATGTTTCAATTCAATGTTTCCTATCTTAATGCCTTTAATATATTTATTTTTTGTAACTTCATTTGAAAGTAATTCTATACAAATAATAAATAGGTAAGGGGATAAAGGACACCCTTGTCGAACGCCTTTTTCTATTTTAAAGAAACTGGATAGATGACCATTATTATGTATACACGATTTAGCATCTTTATAAAAAAAGGCCAACCCAATTTATGATATGATGAGGAAATTTGAATTTCAATAAGCATTTTTTCATAAAGTTATGGTCAAGACTATTAAAAGCTTTATTAAAATCAGAAAAAAATATTAACCCTTTTTCATTTTAATTATTAATATAATTTATTCGATTGTCTCATGTAAAATTCTAACATTTTCCCCAATATATCTACCTTTGATAAAACCTGTTTGCTCTGGACTGATAATATTTGGAAGTTTGGTTTTTATTTTATTTGCAATTGCTTTTGTCGCAATTTTGTAATGTACATTTAGTAAAAAGATCGGACGCCAATTATTTATTGATAACGTGTCTTTGTCTTTCTTTGGAAGAAGAGTAATAATACTTTGTTTTTGAAGTTCCGTAAGATTTCCGTTATCATAAGAGTAGTTTAGAGAATTAATAAGATATTGTTTTAGATCATTCATATTTTGTAAAAATCAGCAGTTATACCGTCACTTCCAGGACTTTTGTTATTTTCCATGTCTTTAAGAGCAACTCCGCATTCGTATTCTGTAAGATGACCATTTTTCTTCATATTCATTATTTTGTTCTAAAGTATTTATTTCATTGGCGAAAAAGATAAAATCTTCGCAATCTTCTATGTCTAAGTCTTTTTTATATAAACGTTCATAAAAATCTTTAATCTTAGTCAGAATTTTGTTTTGATTTGTTTCAATGTTATTTCTATTAACCTATAGTTGGCTCCATATTTTTTTGTTCAGCTTTTTTTTCTTTTCAAGGTTAGCAAAATATTTTGTGTTTTTCTCCATTCTGCTTCTTAGCAGGATACCTAAAATTCTTTTGTCAATAAGATCATTAAGTTTTGCTTTTTCAGATTTAAGATTTTCTATCAAAATATTATTACTTATATTTAACTCAATTTCTTTTCCAAGATCCCTAATTTTAAAATTAATTTCATGCTCATTTCTAAGATCATTTTTTCTTTTTAATGCCAGCGTATTTGATAGTTTCATCTCTAATTCTACCCTTAATTATCTCGTATAATACGTTTGGATTGGCTTGGTCATTAAAAGACACTAGTTCTTGTATTGATGATTTTATTTTATTTTGATAAACAGTATCTAAAAGCAACGATTTGTTAAGTTTAAAGTATCCTGGGCCATTTTTACATTGAATAAACTTTAGATGCATAATCACAATAGAATGATCTGATTTATAACCAGTTTTTATTTGGAAGTCTGTTACTGAATTGAGAGCACAAGTGGAGAAAAGAAAATAGTCGATTCTGCAGAATATTGGTGGGTTATTATGAGAGTGCAAAGTACCAAGTTTTTGTTCTGGATTAAGTAGTCTAAAAACATTACAAAGATCAAATGTATCAATTAGTTCATTAACCTTTTTAGAAGTTCGTTTATTTGTATCACTTTTACCGTTTAGTTTGTCTAAAGAATAATTAATAACAGTATTATAATCACCGCCAACTAGTAGTATTTCGTCACTAAATTTATCAAGATTGGTTTCTAATATATTGAAAAAAATGATATTGTCGTTATTTGGAGCATAAACGTTGAAAATTTTATCACCTTTTCCTCGATTTCTAGTTTAATTCGTTGCATTCTGCCCACAATAATTTCTTGATATTCTAAAATTTTACAATTATAAGACGTATTAATAGAGATACCGACGCCTAAGCTGTTTGTACTCATTCAGCTTGAATAAGATTTTCCATTCCACATTGCCGACCAATTTTCTGTATCATCAGTGTTTGAGTTATAATGAATTTCTTGCAATAACGCTATTGAAATCTTTTGTTGGTTAAGCCAACACAGAACTCGGTCACGTTTGTTTGTCGATGCTAAACCTTTTACATTAAAAGTACATATTTCAGTTGAAGACATATTATATTGACTAAAGATTCATTTGACTGTATGAAGTCTATAATCTTCATTTTTTAATGATTTTATCATCAACATTTTATATATCATGCTTAGATGTATAAACAGCAGAAAGAAAAACATATTAAGTAAAATGATTATATTGAAATACCGTTTGTTCTTTTACATGAATGGCAAAAAGTTAATAAATACGATTTTCTTAAAGTTGAATAGTTAGGTTCAGCGGTTAAATTTTATTGCTAAATGTAATTCATGGATGCTTTATTCGTATGCACAATATTTCCTTTTCTAATTTTAACATTCATCTTTAAAAACATAGAGCGATCAAAACATGACAAAACAAAGAAAAAAAACAAACAATACACAAAATCAAAACAAGTCTATCAAAAAAGTACAGTATGTCTATATAAAAACATGTATTCATAATCGTAATTACAATATGTCGAAGAAGTTGTAGCAGTTTACATATATTTATGTTTTAATCTTTATGGTTACGAATTTACATAATAAATAAAATTTTAACACTATCGGAGATTTCTCTTATAAAAACATAGAAAGCTGGAAGCGTGCTATATTTAGGAAGTACACATTAATTCAGAGTCCATTGTTCTAGAATAATGCACGGTTTTAGTTCAAATGTGTAGTAATATAATCACGAAGGCCGATGGAATTAATATATGTTTCCATTCTAACACGTCAAGAAAAAATATAAAATAGAACTATATGTTTAGTGGTTAAATTTGTTTTCGTCTGAGAGTTGCCAACGTTCTTTAAAGGCTGTTCCAGTTGGTTGAAATAGACTGTCGTTAAGTCTATTGTTCGCAGGAACATTTTGAGAATAATGAACTTTGAAATCATTAAAAACATTTTGTGTTTATTTCAATTCACTTTATATTATTCAAGCAAAATACATTTTTGGCGCAAGAATTGTCAAAATTCACTAAAAATAATCCTTATCAAACCTAAGTCTCACTCGAAATAAATATTCTTTATCAAACCTACGTCTCACGTCTTGTTGAATTTGATAAAAAATGATCTAACTAAGAAAATAGATCTGAACACCAATATTTTTTATTCAGTTATTAACGCTGTTAAGACGTTGTTGTTTATGTGACGTCACAATGTTGCACCAAACAGCGCGTGTAAAAACAGTCAAACAAGCGCGCTATTTCAAACCAGTAAAATTCCATTATTTCACTACTATAATAAATACTCTGTATTTCGCTAGAAAAATATAAAGAGAAATCAAATAAACACGCACAATTTTTTTCAGCGTCTATTTTCGAAACATTTCTGCAAACGTAGACATTTTTTTCAACTGACTGGAACCTTTAAAGAACGTTTCTATTAGAAACTTTGTTTCTATTGGAAACTTTGAGGCGAAAACAAATTTACCTACCAAACATATAGTCCAACATATAGTTAAATATATTTTTCTTGGCGTGTTAGAATGGAAATAGATATGATTTCCTCGTGCATTATAGTAGAATTGTGCACGATTTTTCATTCAACTGCTTTGTGTATAGTCTAATTGCTCATTAAGCCCTAAAAGTATTAATTTTTTCATTTTAAGTTTTCATTTTAGTTTCCAAAAGGTACTTATAAGCCATATCAGACCAACAATGTTTGCTTCTTTTACATTTTTATCATTAGTTGAAATAAAGCAATTAATTTTTTGGAAGTCAAAATACCATTTTGTTTACATTTTCTTACTTTCATGCCAAATTATTTCACATTAAGAGCCACTTTCTTCGTGTGATTAGCATCTAACATTCTTTTATTCATGATTATCATAGCATAAAACATATTAAGTCTTTTCTTAAGAGGGAAAATTGTGGGTGCTAATATGCCTTTAAGGTTTGTTTATAGTTATTTTTTGTATGTTATAAAGATCACGTATGAAAGGTTATTTACTGTGTACTCTTCGACGACAATTCGGAAAATTGGTCAATCATTTTATGTTTCTCATTTTAAGTACTTAAAGGTCACAATTCATGACAGCCTGAGTATTTCTATTTTTTCCAAAGAATCTTTTATTTATAAAACATCTGTCTTAAGCCTCTCCCCATGATTTCTGAAAGTTATACATGTATTTCTTTTCTTATTGTCGTTACTCACCTAATATGAAGTAAACCATAGTTTTAATAGTCATTCTTTTGAGAAAATATGATTTATAAGTAAACATTATTTGACATTATTCAAACTTTAACAATGTTTATGTTGTTCCATTTATGTCAAAAATCATCTTAACATATGAACAAATCATGATTTAATAACATTGGCTGTTTATTTTTTCTTTGTGAACTATATTAAATTTTTCTTCAATCGCTGTTTTCCCTGACAGCCCATGCATTTTTTTAATATGTATTACTTACTATTACATGTATTACATGAGGCTAATTGATATGACATTATCCTAGTAATATGTCTTTTTCCTTTATAGGTTTATTCTATAAAAACAGGCCTGTCAAAACAATAGAGAAGGAATGTTTTTATCATAGACATAAATAAAATTGAAATGATACCTTCTAAAGGTATATATTGAGTCGAATACAAGAGTTTATATTAAATAGATGCTCGGGTGAATGTAGCGATATAGCCATGTGTTATTTTAACATTGGTAAGCAAGCCCCGCCGTTAATTGTACCAAACTTTCTTTACTTAAGTTTCTATGCTGCTGATGCTCCTTTTTAAGTCATTTCTTATGTGCTTTATCATTGCAGTTCCTTCAGCAGCTCCAACTATAAAAACACTTATTCCTACTGAGGTAGGCTTTAATATTTCAATGGTTCCTCCTGGCGAGGAAGATAGAAATGGTGTAATCACCAATTATACAATCAGATATACATGGATAAATAATACATGCTGGGATTCTCTTGACGGTGAAATTGTTGAGGAAACGATATATACCAACGGCAGGTCTGAATATGAAGTGTCAAGTTTGCGTCCGTATTGGTATTACAATATTACGGTGAGTGCATCCACCAAAGTAGGTGAAGGACCAGTTAGATGGTGTGAAGATTGCTATTTTAGAACAAAGGGATCTAGTAAGTATTAACTATTTCATTTTTGCAACCAGAAGAGCTTTATCTTGTCACTTAGTTTCATTTTACTTTTAGTTTTTACAGAATTTACTGTAGTATTAATGCTTATGCGTTTTGTCAAGGAAATACCTAATTGTGCGACATACATTTATTATAACAGTATAGCGATATAGTCTTGTTATCTCCAAGCTAGTCCTGGTATACATTGTACAAAAAAATTAAGTTCGAGTGTAATGGAAGTAGTAACCATAAAGGAACTTTCTGGAACAAACTAGTACTAATAAAATATTGTGAAGTTTCATGTTCAAGGATGTTCAAGGATATAACGACTTACCCCTGGCAGGGTACGAACCTATGCGCCCAATAATCCTTAGATTATTTTTCTAAACCACTCGCCTATGGCCATGTCTTTACTTCCTCTTCAATTCGGACATTATTTGTCATGTTAAAATTAGAGTTTTTGTGACATTATCTTTCTTCTTATTTTCTCACCCAATTTGTTATTCTTTTTTATGCTGTTCTATTTTCCTTTTTAACTGAGGTTAATACTTCCGGCGGTAAAGCTATTGAGTATTAAGTAAAAATAAGTAACAGTCATCAAAGTAACAAATCATTGGATACAGAAATTTCATTTTAACTTTCTCTTTCCTGTTTATATGCCAAGTGTCTTTATGACGATCTGTCTATTTGCTTTTTATAACCTATATCGCAATTCATATTAAGAAATACAATTCTAAAAATTTCAGTACCTGGTGTCGTTAGAAACCTAACAATAATCACAACTTCTAGTAATGCAAGCCTTACATGGGTAACTCCGTGTGAAACAAATGGAATTATTACTATGTATTCAATCAATACAACTAATATAGACAAGAATACAACCTGGGCGAATGAAACTGAAGGAAGTATGACTCAATTTGTAGTTCAGAATTTATTACCGTACAGAAACTATTCGTTTAGTATTGCCGCTAACACTGAAAAAGGTGTAGGTAACTACTCTTTTAGGGAAGAAAGTCAAACAGATATTGCTAGTAAGTATATTAAGTGTCTGCAAATTAATTATTTTATTCTAAGAGTTTTTGTTAAATCAACAACTTATTTATTATATTATTTGATCTCATATTCTTTTATTGTTCATAATTTGCTGATGTTTTCACCCTTCTAAATACAAAAGTTTGCTGCTGGTAAACAATGGAACATCAAGACTTAAACGTCTGTAAATAAAAGTATATAAAACTGTAAGCATATTTGAAAATCTAACAATGTCTTCGAGAGAGCAAATTAATGAAATTAATGATTAAAGTATCTCATCCATGAGTTCACAAAATTTAATCGAAACTCATTTAGAAAAAGATTATGATGATTTCATCTCTCTTTAATGCTCAAATCGAAACAAAATTATATATCTAAATAACAAAGAGAAAATTGTCGATAAAATCTTAATATATTCTATCAATTATAGAGCCTCATCCACCAAGGAATCCAAAAGCAAAGAATATTAGTTCCACAAGCATTGGCATTACATGGACCCGGCCCGATTTGTTCACTGGTCCGACCCGTTACTTTGTTATACCGGTCGATGTCAAAAACAACAATAAAAAACTTAATTGTTGCGAAGTAACTGGTAGGTCATTATAAAAAAAACTCAATTATAGATTTACAAAAGATATGCAAATAGATTACAATTCTATACTATTTTATACACGATACGCCGGTGATAAAGACGTGGAGAGTAGCTTGCATTAACAACACAGTCCATGGTAAGACAAGTCAAACTATGCATGAATTATTTCTAATTTGACTGTGTTAGGCAACCTCTGAGGTGTCCATTTTATCTTCTCCATAATCATTTCATCATACATTTACATAGTGTGTGAACTGTTATTAATAGGATAATATTTTGGACTAGAGAAAGCTGTATTTGAGGTGTCAAATGAACATTTTTCAGTGTCAGACTTGCAAGAAAATAAATTATTAATGGAGGAAAACGTTTGATTCTTCAGGCATTACATTACACTTTAATTCAGATATAATCGGTAGCGTTAATAGAAACTACGACCATGAAAAGACATATGTACTTATGCGAATTTTAATATAAAAAGTATTTAATTTTGTTGCTAGGCTTTGAAGCAAACACATGCACTTTGAAGAGTCTAGACGAGTATTGGACATATTCAATCACAGTTACTGCACAAACGGATCGCGGAAACACATCATCTGTAAAATTTAATGTGTCGACGTCAGAAAACAGTTTGTTTCTTTTGATTTATCCAATATGATGAAACTAAATATTTCTCTTTTTGGTTTATATATACACAATTTTATTTCTACACAAACAGTAAAATCTGTAATACAATCTTGTTTTCAATGGAACAGATGCCAAATGATGAAATTTAAACAGGGAAAGTAGCCTGTAAGATGAGGGTCATGTTTTCAAAAAAAAATTGTCAAACTCTGAAACGAACCCAGAACAAGTATAAAGTCACAAATTTATAACATCTAAATATCCGAGCTCCAACTCCTGTAATTTTGGAGAAAAAAATTTAAATTTTCAATCTATACATTTACTTATGCATGTAGAAAATACATTACCCCTGGGTCGGGGCCAAGTTTTATTCAAGGACTTTGATCAATCATGGTAGAGGACTGCAAGACACAGCCTTGTGCAAAATATCTATGCTCTAGGCCTTTTAGATGTAGAGAAGAAATTTGTTTTTAATTCTTTCTATTATTTCACGGGGTCACATTCTTTGACCAACTTTGGAAGCCCTTTGATTGAAATTGGACTTGTCGTTTTTAAAGAGAGGACTTTTTAACATTACAATATGATCTATATCACACGCACACGCACACGCACACACACACACACAAAAGTGAATATCTTTATGCCAACGCATCGCAGACTACGGTGGCATAAAAATCGAACTCTTTAAAAATTTTGCATTCACAACGCTTCAGAATCAAATATGGTGTACAGTATGGCCACCGCTTTATGCGAACCATATGTATATATTTTATTACAATAGCTAGTGTGGCAAAGACTATACCATTTGTCGTTAAAAAGGAATTTAAACATTTTTGCAATTAAAACAAGAAAAATGTTTTTTTATCGCAAATTTTTTAGGTTTAATAAGTTTTGAAAAAACTATCAAAAAAATCCAAGTAACTGCTGAATTCAAACATAACACTGTTGTAATTTGTAAATTTTATAAATTTATAAATTTTGTAAATTATTTGTGTAATCAGGATGGGGGAAATTCACCCCAAAGTCAAAAAAAAGCCATATTAGTATATTGTTTCTTTGTTTATTTCACTTTGGATGTGTTTTTATACAAAAATTCTCCTTTTTATTTCATTTTTCATTGTTATTTGGTATTAAAGGTATGGTAAGTGGGGCAAAATTAAAAAAGAAAGTAATGCTCATACAATCATGTGTATCGAATCACCAAAACATTATATTCCTTAAATGTAGTTGATGTTACAATAACATTTAATTAATGAAAAAGCTCTTATTTTACATTCAAGTGTATATTTTGGAAATTTTACACAGTATTACTCTTTTGTTTTACCTCAAGACCAATAAGAGTACTCATTGACCATGGTCAATGTGTTTACTAAGTTACATCGTCTATAGCTTATTCCTTCTTCTGTTTTAAATTGATTAAGTATAAACGATGTACTAATGTGACGTACAGACATGTCCACAGACAAACCACAAATCTAAATATGCTCGCCACTTGTTTCA